AATTAATCATTAATGTCCTGAGTCTGTCAGTAGGCTTTATTGCTCACTCTGATTTATGGCTGGCATTGCGTATAGACATTAACACACAAATTAACACACACACACACACACACACACAATAGACCCGCACTAAAATAAAAGTACTTTAACCAATATGAAATAGAACTTCCCGAATTAGTATCTTTCTCTACTTATGCATTTTTGCTTCTTCTTGACCAAGTGTTAACGTGATACTCTTAGAAGAATTAGTTCTAGCTCTGATGATTTCCATAATTTAATAGGCGAAGGCTCAACCCGTTTTCACCAAAAACGAGGAAGGATGTCTCTTGGACTGCGTCAACTTGAACGTCGTATTAAAGCCAATCGTTGTGTTCTGGTGAGATCGACGTTTGAATTTCTTCTTCATGCACTTTCCTAGGAAATAAAACGCTCTCCAACAATATTATCTCAGGAGATTGATCAAAAACCAGTTTGTATTCGTATCTACCACGGAAGAATTTCTTGCTGACAGTGTTATCCACAATGTTCTAATAAGGCCAACTGGCAACTGGCAAATTAGAATACGCAGTCGTCTTCTGGTACGGTCAACTGTCGAATCTATTCATCATACAATTTCACTAAAAATGGAAGTGAACCTAACCATTTTTAATAAAAAGATGTGTGAATGGACCTCGTAAGGCCTACGCATGCCATTTCCCTTCTTCACCCTCTGCGACCTAGAATGATTGGTAGTTTCGAATTCCACTCAATTTTAATATTTAAAAAGTATTCATATAAGATATATTAAACCTGCTTCGTTAAGGTGATGAAGGACTGATAGTTGAGTTTTCCCAGTCATTATTCTAAACGAACTTGGATGAATAAACCTTATAGAGGGTGTCTGGAATATCTACTTACACAGAAAACGTGCTTCTTATGCCTTGAAATCCTTACATGTCGTGTCGGGTCTCTTGGTTAAAGGGCCAAGGCGTTTCTTTTCTAGCCCACATATCACCAGATTAGACCATCTCATTCCAAATATGGGCCATTCAAGGGGGCTGTACATCTACGACATTTGTGATACCTACACATTGGATCGCTGACAGTCCCAGCCTGGAGAGGCTCCAGACAAGATGAGGGGGAGGGCCGAAGTCAGGTAGACTCTCCAGACCCAATAACGGCAGATTCAGGAGTCGGGGCATCAGTAACAGCATCAACATCATCAGCAACAGCAATAACATGTCTGGCAATAATATTGACTTCTTGTGTAAACAACGATATGAGAGTATCACAATTTCCGCATATTTTGGGGCCATCGTGTTCCCCAAACTGACC